GCAAAACTTCGAGGAAATACCCTAAAAATTTGAAAGTGAAATGTCAGAAGGAGAGGAATAATTTGTAATGTCTCGAAGAGAATCTTCTCTCAATTGCATGGTGCCTGGATGGAGCACTGGATGGAGCACTGGATGGGGGGGGTGGCAAGGTAGAAGGATTGCTCTGGGCAAAGGCTGTAGAATCTGAAAGCCATTTTCCCTCAGAATCTGAAGACCTTGTGTTCACCAAGAGCCTTCTGGGCTTGCTCTTCATTTTGGCCAGGCTTCATCAAGATGGGGGGTGAAGGGGGGGTACAGAGTAGGGCTCCTATGCCAAGGCTATGGCTATCCTTGGGTTCCACTAAAATGGAGAGTAAGTTGCATTGTCTACACTTTGACTAAGAGGAAGGAAAGAAGAAGAAGAGGATGAAGGGAACAAGCCTAGCAGGCACTAGGCTTTACAAATAGCGACAAACCTAGGAGATTGGGGCAGCTAGGTGGCTAAGTGGATACAGCACCAGCCCTGGAGTCAGGAGGACCTGAGTTCAAATCTAGCCTCAAACACAAAACACTGTGTGACTCTGGGGCAAGTCACTTAACCCCAAGTGCCTCAGGAAACAAACAAACAAACAAAAAATAATCCTAGGAGGTTGGTAGTATTATTACCCCCATTTTACAATTGAGGAAACTAGGGCAGACAGCATTGAAGTGACTTGCTCAGGGTTGCACAACTGAAAAGTTTTTGAGACTGGATTTGAACTCAGATCTTCCTGACTCCAAGCTCAGTACTCCATTCATTATACCACCTACCTGCCTCATGACGAAACAAAGAATCAGCCTTGGCATCAGGGAAGATTCAGATTAAATAAGGCTCTTGTTACTGATAGGATAGAGACTGGACCTGTGCTTTCACTGATATGGGGAACTCCCAGATGAAGTAACTCCTATCAATGCATGTTGGTACTTTTTCCCCCCCAAGGCAATTTGGGTTAAGTGACTTGCCCAGGGTCACACAGCTAGTAAGTGTCAAGTGTTTGGTCTGAGGCTGGATTTGAACTCAGGTCCTCCTGACTTCAGGGCCGGTGCGCTGTCCACTGGGCCACCTGGCTGCCCCCATGTTGGGGCAATTGTTAGAGAGTTCTCTAGAGCACTATAAAGTTAACTGACTTGCCTAAGACCATCCAGTCAGTGTGTGTTAGAGGTGTTATACCCGTGTTATAGAAAGGATTTGACTCCAGGCTTTCCTGACTCTGAGGCCACCTGTCTCTGGGATACCATTACTAATTACTAATAATAACACCTCGTTATTACAGCAAATCCGTCCATTAAATATGTTTCCGATCTTTGAATTTTAGAATGTTAAAGGTCATTTAATGCAATCCCCTCATTTTATGGATAAGAAAATGGAAACTCATCAAGGTTTGACTTCCCCGAAGTCACACAGCTGGCTTGTGTTGGAGCTGAAATTAGAGCCCCTGGACTCCTGACTCCCAGTTCATGCCTTTCCCAGTCCAGCATGCCTAAGATTCCCAAAGAAAACAAACCAAAGCTTTATGATTAGGACCATCCGAAAGATGGGATAACTTGAGGGTTGGTAACTTATTCATCAACAGTGCCAGCCAGAACTAGGTTTAAGGTCCAGGCTTCTTGACTTCCAGTCTAGGACTCTTCCTGAGAGGTCCCCAAGCTTTCAGAATTGGCTCAGAAAGTAGAGGCTAGGGTCAGGGCAGGGGGCCTCATCTTTATTCCATTTTAAGGGAAGTGTCCAGATCACCTCTGTCTTCATTCCTCTCTGGGTTTCCATTCCTGACTCTCTTCCTTTTTCTACCATGTTACCCATGGGCCATTGCCAGCCATCCTGTCCTATGTCTTGCCACTGGACTCCGATGACTCCAGAGCAGAGACTGAGGCTGATGACTTTGCACAGTTCTGCCTCACTTAAATCTAATTGATTTGCAAGTCAAAGCATCACCGTCCTGATGTCATTGGTCCTCTTTGAGAACTCAGGACAAACAATAACACTGCACAGCATCCTTCTCGCTCAGGAAATTAACTCTGTCCCTGTGGTCCTGCCCTCTGATTGATCAGTTCCTCCTAAAGCCTCCACTTTAAAGAAAGTGCCCAGGTCAACCAGACTCCATTCATAACTATCTGGCTTTCTCCATGACCCCATCTGGGTACCTTCCCTCCCCACCACTCCCAGGCCCCAACGTTTCAGCTTTCTTTTATGTAATTGCCTTCCCACATTAGAATGAAGATTCCTTGAGATCAAAGACTATCTTTGTTTCTCCTTGTATTTCTCTTTGTGTATATTTGTATTCTCAGCTCTTAGCATAGTACCTGGCACATGGGAAGTGCTTAGTAAAGACTTATTCATATGTCTTTGTCATACTGGAGATTTTCCCAGTGTCACCTTGTTCAAAGGTGTGTAATTCTGTGTTTACATGCTAGCCTTGATGCCTGAGCCAACACGATGTCCCAAAGAGTCATCCTCTTCATTTCAATGTGAGTTACAGAAAGCAGGAATGTGGATGATGGCATCCTAGTTGGAAGGGACCTCAGTGGTCATTCAGCTCAAGCTGTTCCTGAACAAGAACCACATTGTCTGCAACAAGTGGTCATCCAGTCTCTGCCTGGGGACGTCCAGTGAGAGAGAAGCCACTTCCCTGGGAGGCAGCCCATGCATTCCCCTTTTGGACAGCTTGGAGTTAGGCAGTTTTTACTGATAGGAAACTTAAGTCTGCCTCTTTGCAACTAACATTTATGCCTCCTGAGTCATTAAAGGAAGCTTTGCCCCTGAATTTGTTTTGGATAGCAGCTCCTAAGATGTCACAGAGGGAAGATCTCCAATCAGTAAGCATTTCTAAGATATCTCCTCTGTGCCAGGCACTATGTCAGGTGCAAAGACAAAAGGGAGGCAGGTCTTGCCTCAAGGAGCTTATGCTGAAACAACATGTGTGTATATGTATGTGATATGTATGTACACACATGCAAATATGTGGGTATATGTGTACATTGTGCTATATATCATGTATACATGTTTTGCATGTGTATGAATATAAATGTGTGTGTACATATACACAAATATATGTATTACATGGGCAGTTAGATGGCACAGTAGATAGATCACTGGGCTTGGAATCAGGAAGACCTGAGTTCAAATCCAGCCCCAGAAACTTCCTAGTTCTGTGACCTTGGGCAAGTCACTTAACCTCTGTTCCCCACTGGAGAAGGAAATGGCAAACCACTCTAGTACCTTTGCCAAGAAAACCCCATGGACTCATGTCCATGGGGTCATGAAGAGTCAGTCAAGATGAAATGACTAAACAATAACAAATAAATGTATTAGACATATGTGTATGTTTGTGTATATTATATATGTGTATATAATATATACACACACACACACACACATATATACACACAGACAAAACAAAGTATTTTGTGGGGGAAGTGTGGAATCATCTGGGGGAATCAGAGGAATCTAAGGGAATCAGGAAAGGCAAAGATGAAAGATGGAGGTGAGCTGAGTCTTGATGGAAAATAAGGCTACCAAGAGTTGGATGTCAGAAGGTAGGGCAATCCAGACATGAAAGACAGCCAGTGCAAAGGCATGGAGATGAGAGATGAAGCTCTGTGTGTGAAAAAGACATGCTTGGCAGAACTATGATAGAGTGTGTGAAGGGGAGTAAAGTGTAACAAGGCTGGTAGGTCAGAGGCAGGTTAGGAAGGACTTTAAATGACAGAAGAATTCATATTTAATAAAGATTTTCACAGACTCAACCAGGGTTAACAGGAAGAGACTAAAGTTGACTGATTGGTGAGAGTGGGGAAAATCACTTTGGCAGCTGTGTGGAGGATGAATTGGAGATTGATTAGGAAGCCATTGACAATCCAGGTAAGAGATAATGAGGGCCTGAAACAGGGTGGTGGCCGTGTGAGTGGAGATAAGGGGATGAATGTAAGAGAAATTGGTGAGGTGGAGAGGGCAGGACTTGGGAAATGTTCTGATATGGTGAATGGGTGATAGCAGTGAGGAGGAGTCAATGATGAGAGCAAGGTTTTGAATCTGGATGACTAAAGGATACTTGCCAGTAACAGGAAAGTTGGGAAAATGGAATGGTTTGGGAAGTGCCTTGTTTGGACATATTAAGTTTGAGATGCCTACAGGACATCCAGTTTGAAATGGCCAACAAGAAGTTGGAGATGCTGGACTGGAGCCCAGGAGAGACTAGGGCTGGGAGTGCATAGAGATGATAATTAACCTGCATCTGCAGAGAAAAGATAATTGATTGGCTCAATTAATTTACCCCAATCTTATGTCTTTCTTCAGCGGTTTTTTTTAAAATATTCTCTCAGGAAAAGAAAATCCCCTTTTCTTTGCATAGATGAGTCCAGAAGGTTCTCCTTGGGTTAATGGTGGCCCTGGCAGAGGAATTTGGGGAAAGGTTTGTTGGACAGTGGAAAGTACTGGATTGGAGTCAGAAAATCTGAGTTGGAATCCTGGCTCTGCCACTTTTTACCTGATAGATCTTCAGCAAATCACTTACCCTCTCTGGGCCTCAGTTTCCTTATGTGTAAAGTGAGGGGTTTGCATTAGACAACCTCTAAAGTCCCTTTCAGCTTTGGAGGGTATATTGCCAGGCCTAGGAGCTTTTTGGAGAGAATGACCCATGTGACTGTTAATTTTCAAGGGGGTTAAAAAGAGTTGAAATTTAGGGACTTTATTTTCTGGGTTCCACTTGGGATGGGGGCTTGAGTCAGTCGCTGTTTTAAGCAAATCTCATTTAAAAACCTCTTAACCTCTGATTGATTATATAAAGATCTGCAGATTGGAGATACAAGCAGGATCGCTGAGAGTGGTGCTGTGTCTCGGTTTCCAAGAGACTCAGCCACCACCACAACCCGAGGGTGTGAAGATACAGTGTTAGGGCTACAGACGCCGTCCTTCTCTTTCTGGTCCCTCTTTTGCAGTCAAGCCTCTCGCGGAAAATAACAAAAATTCGTTTTGTGAAATAGAAATGGGAATTCGATAATAGTAACGCCTGGCTCTAGCTAAACAAAATTATCTAGGATTGCGGCTGGAGCTGCGGGTCTTTGGGTCTCTTCCCAGGAACGCTAACGTCGGCAACGCTCTGATCCTCTAAGTTTAAACCAGAAGAGCCTCTATGCTGCTTAGTCTGGGCACCTGCCTGGTGCTCAGCTCCCAGGCAGCCAAAGGCTAACGCATCTGCCCTGGGCCGGTGCCCCAGGAAGGCTCCGCAGCTTAGACGCTTCTTGACCATCTCCAGGCGCTAGCACAGAAAGTGAAGCGGTCCAGTTGCTGGGGAACACCCCACTCCTCAATGATTCTCCCCCAACCCCTTACACTCCTTTCCTTCTAAAGCCTAAACTGGACGACAGATTTTCCAATCCCCCAAGTCCCTTCCTCCGAAACGCACACAACCCTCCCTGCGTTCAAGGGAGCTCCGTCCCAAGCAAGCCCCACTGCCCAGGGCCCCAACGGCTGCGCTGGGGGAGTCGTCCCCACGCGCCTGCTCCGGCACAGACGCGGGGCAGTACCAGGCAAAGGAAGGACGTGGAAAGGGGAAGGAGAGAAAGGAGTTGGATTCGAAGCCAGGTGAGTCTTAATTTGCTAGGGGAGACAACCCCGGGGCCATTTATGAGGCTGAAGGGGGCCTGGAAGCAGCTTGAGCCCTTGTCCTCGCGGGGGCTGGCACGGGGTGAGAAGCTGAGCCTTTCCTACTTGTGTTCTGCCGGCTTGGACTAGATCCCCAGCCCGCCCTGTAAATGAATCTCGAAACTGCTGGAGCAGGGGGCGAAGAGTGGCGGGGGCGGGGCGGGGCAGGGAGGGGCGGAGGAACGGGCAGGACCGGTTGCGCCCTTGCCCTTGGAGCCAAGGAGACAGGCAAGTGGGACAGCGCGGGGCGGGCACGGGGGCGGGCCCGCGAACCCTAGCTCCCCTCCTTCCTTCCCCTCCCTGCTTACCACTGCTTTCCGCCTCCAGAGAGCTCACTTTCCTCGCAGCCATGGGCTCGGCTCACCTGCCGCCCCCGAGCCTCCCGCCCCTGCTCACAGCCGCCTAACTCCGGGAGCGAGATGGAGGCGCTCGCCTGGCTCCTGCCCCCGCTCGTCCTGCTGTGCGCCCAGCAGCACAGATACACCAGGTAAGCGCGCCAGGCGCTGACTCCCTTTCATCCCTCTCCCTCTCCGGGTACGGGGTGGGGGAGACTGGCGCATCCAGAGAAGAATTTCCAAAACCCAGAGTGAAGATGGAAACTGGGGAACGGACGCGGAGCTGGACAGCGGCTCTTCAACGAGTCCCGCTTTATTCCTTCACCTTGGGATTAAGTAGGAAGGCGCCTCCAAGGACCTGAATCCAGCCTCCCGAGGCAGCCCCAGGTACCGGCCCGGGGTCCTTTCGAGATGACTCGGAGCGTCTTCCTTCCCTACTTTTCCCAACCCTTCCCACCTCCGACGGCAATTCGGAAGCGCTTAGCAGGCTAGGTCAGTGGCTCGGCCCTGAATGGTCATCTAGGTGCAGTGACCTGGAGCTCCAGGCCAGGAGTGCATGCAGTGAGAGGCAGCAGCTCGGTCTAGGGCTGGGAAAGTCCAGCAGACCGAGAAAAAGAAGAGTCTACCTACATTCTCCCTTAAGGGTGCTGTCCACGACTCTCGGTTCTGAACCAGGGAGCACTGAGGCAGCCTGGGAGACAGCTGGGAAGAGATGTAGGGGGGCGGCCTTGTTTCTCTATAACAAGCGCATACTTCCAAAGGCCCACGTCTCCTCCCTAGCTTCTGTGTTGGCCTAACCGTGGGAGGCTGGGCCTGGGAACTTTCAAGCGTTCTCATCCCTTAGAAACTTACGGGCTCCTTGACCCTATACCCATCTCTCTGCCTCCAGCACGAGAAGACAGAGATAAAGAGGATTCCCTGTCCACCAAGGACAGAACTAAAATAAATGAGCTTCCTTGCGGCAAAGAGGATCTGGGTTAGAGGCAAGGAGGAATTTTCTGTCCTGTGTAAGGCTGTGATAGACTGAAGTGATGGAGAGATCATGTGGAATCTCTCCAGAATTCTTTAAAAAGAGGGTAGTCGTTGTACTGCTCAAGGGAAGAGGAAATCACGGATGAACGACTTCTTAGATGCCCCTCTTAGCAGGAAGAGGCATCTCTAATGGAATTTGGATAAACAACTTGTCTATTATGGGTTTCTCTGGGCAGGGTTAGAGAAGCACCTGTCAGTGCTGGAGAGCCCCTTGTCTAGCTTTGGGACTGATTTGTGGGAGCCACAGACGTAGAGAGAACAGCAGGCAGCTCCAAAGTGGCAGCTTCCTGCCTCAGCACTATTTAGAATTTCCATTGTTGGTCAACTGGGCATCCTGCTTTCCAAGGGGCTCTTTCTAGAGGAGTGAGGTACCCTAGCCTGAATTCTGGAATCCTGGGCTACACCCCTGAGTTACCCCACCTCACATACAAGGCACTGGACACAACGACTCTAAGACTGTGTCTTTTAAAGTTCAAACTCAAGAAACATTTATTAAACAGCTGCTATTACGTGAATAAGATATTAGTGAGATGGTAATAGAGAAGGATAGTGGTGCAGGGTTGGGGGAATGAGGAAACAGGTGAGAAATGCCAGATCAAAAATGGGTCATTCTGCATTTTGGTTGTTTTGATGGTCAATTCCTTTCTCTTTAAAGTGGATCTGATAGGCTGACATTTTGTATAGTTAAAAAAAATCTGAAGTGACTAAAAAAGATAATTCTATGCCTGTGTGTGGTTACAGCCAGTGTGAGAGAGACAGAGACTGAAGAGAGAGGGGAGCACTATAGAGGCACAGAGGGCAAGCAAGGAGAGGTAGACACAGACAGATGGAAAGACAGCATGGGGCAATAGAAAAAGCATAGGACTAGGGGTCAGGGGTCCTGCACATCTAGCTGTGTGACCTTGGGTAAGTCACTTCTCTCTGGATTTCAGTTCCTCATCTATAAAATGAGGAGGTAGATTAGATAAGCTCTAAGGTCCCTCTTATCATTGATCATCCGAAATAAGAGTAAGTTATGTCATTGTTAACTGCTGAAACCTATTGCTTAGAGGAGGGGAGAGGTTCTGAACTCTGGAGAGGTTCATAAAGCACTGAATGTGGCAGCAGGAAGACCTGTGTTTAAATTCAACATCAGACACTTATTAGTTGTATAAACCCCCCCACTCCACCTTAATCTCTTGGAGTCTCAGTTTCCTCATCTGTAAAATGGGAATATAATAACACCAACCTCCTAGGGTTGTTATGAGGATGAAATGAGATATTATTTGTAAAGCCCTTTATAAATCTTAAAGTTCTATATAAGTGTGAGCTATTACTGGTATTTTATTCTGCTGCAGACCCTAATCCTGTAGGGTAGAATATTTCCATGCAGCCACTTCCTCCCCATGCATCCAGAATCTTTCCTGCAAAGATCTTGCTGCTGCACTTTTACCCACACCAATTAACCTTTCCCTCTTCCTTCATTCCCTCCTATCCCTATCATCTCAATTTAACAGAAAGGTGCAGAGAATAGGGACTTAGCCATAATTGTGCATGTACTCAGAGCCTAGGAAACTGCTGCCAGGGTGTTTGAGAAAGAAAAGTGAAAGGCCCCGCCCTAGGCATGTGGGGGAAGGTTCTAGCATTTCTTATCCCTATTCCTATTAATAGGAGTCATGCTGGTCTCATCCCAGAGCTGAGGGGTGGGGGGAGGGTCCTGACTGTACAGCTCTATGTTGAATTAGCACTTCATTCCCTGTTTAAAAACCAGAGCCTTCTTTCTACATTTGAAAATCCATAGTTTTGAAATAATTCTAGTCAATGGATCTGCAATTAGCTCCCAGGGACAGTACAGACAGGGTTCATTCTTCCTCTCTGAGTTCTAGAATTCATGTTAATTTAACTCAATTTAATTTGCATTTAGTATTTCCTCCGTGCTGGGGATGTGCTGGCTTCTCTCCGTGGTTCAATGCTTCATGGGATTGTTGAGTGGGTAGCATAGGAGGTGAGAGCCTTCCTCTGCTCAGAGGTATTCCACAAGAAAGTAAAGCAAGCATTTTTTTTTTTGGCTAGGCAATGGGGTTAAGTGACTTGCCCAGGGTCACATAGCTAGTAAGTGTTATGTGTCTGAGGCTGCATTTGAACTCAGGTCCTCCCGAATCCAGGGCCAGTGCTCTATCCACTGCACCATCTAGCTGCCCCTGAAACAAGCATTTATTAAACACCTACTGTGTACCAGGCACTGTGCTAAGTGCTTTATAAATATCATCTCATTTGATCCTTACCACACCCCTGGGAAGTAATTTCTATTATTATCCCCATTTTACATTTGAGGAAGCTGAGGCAATGAGAGGTCAAGTGAATTGCCCAGGGTCACAGCTATTAAGTGTCTGAGGCTGGATCTGAACTCAGGTCAGTGTTCTATTCGCTATACTATCAAGCTGTTTCTAGGTGTTAATAAATGTTAGTTAATAAATGAGCATTTATTAAGTGCTTACTGTATGCCGGGCACTGTGGTAGGTAGTGGAGATTTAAAAAGAAAATATAGCTGTCTCTGTCCTCAAGGAGTTTACTTTCTGATGGGGTGGAGGGTGTGGAAGAATAGTATAGATGCAAATAAGTACATATACAATATTGTTGTTGTTGTGGAGTTATATCTGACTCTTCAAGACCATTTGGAATTTTCTTGGCAAAGATACTAGAGTAGTTTGCCATTTCCTTCTCCAGCTCATTTTATAGATGAGGAAACTGAGGCAATAAGAGTTCAGTGACTTGCCCAAGGTTACACAGCTAGTATCTGAGGCCAGGTTTGAATTTAGGCACATGAGTCTTCCTGACTCCAGGCCTGGTGCTCTATGCACTATGGCACCACCTAGATGGCCCCCAAATACACAGTATATACACAGTAAATGCAAGGTAATTTGAGATAAGGCCTTAACGACTCTGGATTGTTAAGTTGTTAAACTGGTAAGGGAAGTAGCACCTGCCTTTGAAAAGATGCTCCCCTGTTTTTTGCCTTGGTTAAAAACTTCTTTGTGACCCTCATCTCAACTCTTTTCTCTCAGCCTCAGCCCAGTGGAGGCATTCCTACTAAGTAAGATTACCCATAGTGGTTTCACCTGGCTCAAATCCTTAGGCTCATATTCATTCAACAATCATTTGTTTGTTAAGTGCCCAGAGGAGAGGCAGTGTGGCACAGTGGATAGAGGGGTTTAAAGGAAAGAAGATGTGGCTTCAAGTCCTCTCTTTGACACATATCAGCTGTAAGACCATGGGACAATCAATTCACCTCTCAGGTCCCTGAGCAACTTTCTAAGGCAAGTTACAAAGATGTTGTTGATCTGCATTAATGAAAGGAGGGAGTTTCCATGCAGTTAGCTCCATATGCTGATGGAATCAAAGGTTTACACAAAAAGAAAACACATCAGATACTGGGCAAGGTAAATAATGAAATAACCATTGCCCTGGAGAGTTTATAGCCAACTGAGGGTACCCCACAGATCCACAGATAAATATAGCAGGGATCACCCATCGAATGTCATCGCTACTTAAACCATCTAGTATCCATGTGGCAGTTACCTGATATATGCCAATGAACATGGAGAAGAAAAGATAGAGGGATAGAGGAAGGAATCCAGGCATGTCTTCCTAGAAGAAGAATACTGTCTGAAATCTGGTCTTCATTGAACTCAACAATGAAAACAGGGGAAATGGATGGACTCAGATTATAAATTTCTCTCTTTTTATTTCACCTGTTTGTCACCTTGGGCTGAATAAGGAATTTTATGGCAGTGGGATGTTCCTGCATCGGTAACTTCCAGGGTAAAAAATCATTAGTTGGCCTCTCTCCTGCCTCACACTAGGTCCTGTTGGGTCTTCCTCCCTTTCCAGATTATACAGTTCCCCGATCTCTGCTGGCAAGACTAGTATCAGACACAAAGCAGGGACCTCAATCACTAATATATTTTATATAACACCAAAATGAACAATGGCAAAATTGACATGGAGAAAAGGGGAACCACTGTGCGTATGTGTTGACCAGTTACCAGTTACTGCAGAAATGGTAGCTTTCCTATGTTAATTCCTTTTGATCACATATAAGAGAAATCCAGACTCCTGAGGAGAGGGGATGCCATGGTCA